CTAAAAGCTTCTAAAATTGGATGTTCTAGGATGTCAGTTTGTTTTAAAATAACACCCGGAAGAAGAACTCTAATGTTGCTACTGGAAACAGTTGAATTTTACTTTGATTAGCCGAGTAAGAGCCAACCTGGCATTTGAAAAAGAAATTTAGGTCTAAATATTCCAGCCAATCATACCCTGATATAGATAGTAGCCTTCATTTGGCGCGAAAATTTGCTAGGTTATGTATTTGTTCTTGAACATTATTGTAGATCGTATCGTAAATCCTCTAGTTACGATGCGTAGCTATTGCGGTAATTAAAAAATTTATCCTACTTTTGTGTATGTTTTATCTTCTGAGAGGATCATATGGTTTTCAGTTGGAACAAGGGTGAGTCAGGTGTCACCAACAGAGAATAAAGGGGGAGACCATTATAAATCAACGGCTAAGGAAGAGAAAGGGGAGCGCAAGAATATTACAGAGCTTTGGGGGATTGGAATAATCTCATTTTTGATGACATAATCAAGGCCCACCCTCCCTTACTCATAGGCGATAAATAATGACTGCTTCTGTATTGAGAACTTGACCGCTTGAAAAGGAAAACCCAAGAATACTGTCACGACCAATTATGACAAAGATGGCAAGTGTATTCCACATAGATAAAGAGTGCTTTTTAAGCGTCGTGATTGGCTAGTACGGGAGTGATCGGAAAGTTCTTTTAGCCTCCCTTCAAACGAAAGACAAAATCGCGCGTCAAGAGTCTGACGAGACCGAAAATGGACCAGTGTATTACGGAAGTTTTACATTTAATTGGTTAGGAAAGGTGTGCATATCTTCTGGACCAAGCACTTGGTGTTACCAAGAAAAGAACTAGTAGAATGCACTCCTAGATAACTTACTTAGACGCTCCTTTAAAAACTTCTCTCACTTGTAACGAATGCTAGGGTTAGAAGATTATTGTATAACAAGGCGAAGAAAAAATGCAAAGAGAATTGAGTAAGATTGCACCCTTTCCCCAACCTTATGCTGACTCGCTCCCAGTCCTCTATATAGCGGCAGCAGCTGACCAGAGCTGGATGAGACCACGAGGTCCAACGAGATGAGAATAAAACGAAAAATCTCCTCCTTCTACCCTATTGCATTTTTCCCCGCTTGTGCTTCGCACACAGTATGAAGACAGTTGAGGATGAATCAGCTATCATGTATGCGCTCACCTTTATATATATATATATATATATATATATAATGTGTGGTAGTCGGAAAAAAACAACTACAGATACATCCCTACAGACCTGTTTCGTGGTTGCCACTCATCAGGGGATTTTTTAAAATCTGTCGTTGTTTTTTTCTGACTACCACACGTTATACCCCCTCTACTATTGGTATCGAGCACTGTCTCACGGACACCAAGCTTAATCCCTCTATATATATATATATATACAGACCTATATACATAGGTTAGTTGATCACTCCCCATAGGGCTTTTTCAGGGCCAACACCCACCCATCCCACCTAGGGGAGGACATCCACCACACAGTAATCTCGTGGGTGGGAAATTAACGTCTCCTACCCCTAATCCTGCCAGGAGACGGGGCCTACGGTTTATTTATTTTATTCTGATGCCCAATATTTCACACGCGTAAGGGTTATGTTGCATGCCAAGGCTCCCAATCAATGTACGTGTTCATAGTCATGGCTGCCTCTTGCATACAAACGTGAAGTATGGGGTTCGCATGCGCTTTAGGTGACATTATCATGAAAATCAGATACCCAATAAGCAACGGTGTGACGAGGGAGCCGATCGCGTAGAGGACACCAGGAAGAAAAACATAGGCAACCTCTCTCAGGGAAAGCATCTTCAAAACACTTTTCGACAGCTTCGGCCCTTTCTCCTTTCTCGTGGAATTAGTTGTTTCTTCTTTCCATTTCTTATCGAGACGATCTGTGACCAACTGTGAGGCGTCCTCATTAGAGAGTGGTACAAAATCGCTTTCCTCCAAGGCTCGTTGATTGCCTGTCTTCATGACATCATTCATCCCATTGCAATAAAAGGACAGAGACAAAACCAACTTTCTCAGCAGATTCATCGATAGAGGTTATCTTCCTGTGGCCATGTGGTACCATGATTCTAAACTGCCATTCGAATAACAACAAAACACGATTGACACAAGGAACTGGTCATAGTTTATTGTCACGATAAAAGTAGCCCGATCCTCCCACAAGGCTTTGTAATATACTTTTGACCCTCTCCCCCTCAGTTGGCAGTTAAATGGAGGCCAATTTTCTACACCCCCCTTAGTAATTGTACTCTGTTGGCTCCAACTAACCCCATCTGCAAGCTCCCCTAAAAAACCATGTCTTCTTCACCCCCCCGAGTGGACGGAGAGACAAATTGGGGCGTCGAGAGTTTATTCCGACCATTTCTCAGTATATTGAAAAAACGAGTATAACTGCTATTTTTAAAAATTTTTCGTGCTTCTGAATTTCTTCGCAGCTCTGTAAATATTCACCATTAGTATACACCACACTGATGAATAGTACTTTTTGCGCGCGCTGATTGGCTAGTTAGGAAGTGATAAGCAAGTATGTTATTTACTTCCGAGCAAGCGATGAGACAAAATTGCGCGTCAACAAAATATAATTCCGACCATAGTTTGGTATGTTGACAGATATATGCTTATTTTTTGGGTCTCGTAGTGGTTTATGCTAAAAAAAATTATTCACATCAGTGTCGGTGAAAGTGATGGATATATAGCTCACCGCGAAATGTCCACTATTATAATCCAACAGATATATTGCTCACGCGTAATTTGTGAAAACGTATCGCATGGCCGAATATCCCCAGCTATTACTCGAGGATATTCGAGGATACACCCCAAGTCATCATATTCACCAAAGCTTGCGTCCATTACAAAAAAAATTCCTCTTTAAATTGGATTGAAAATGAGAAACGTTGAGTGGTTGTTACAGAGTAAGGAACATGTTTTTTTCTTCATAAAATCGTGTCAAAGAATACTGAAAAGTGAACACCCCACGTGCAAACGGTAACCTGTTCGTAAACATTTTCCCACGCTTTAGAAAATATTTGATGGAGAACAAACACTAGCCTCCCTTGACGCGCGAAATGGAGGTTACTGTTTATCTATTCACCGACATTGAGATGACAAGTTGTTAATTATAATCCTTCAAATATTTGTTCTCGTGCACAATTAGTCGATTCTTGTGGTCGAACATGCCTCAGGTAAAAAAAAGGGGAGTATCCGCGGATATACGCCACGTGATACTATAACAGCGCACGTGCTCGCCCTATCTAAGTTTTATTGAGCCGCTATGAACAAAATCTTTATTCACGCACGTCCGTGCGTAAATAAGATGACATGGGTTTTTTTCTTTGCCTGGCTGCAGAGTTGCCGTCCTGTTAAGCTGCAATGCAGTTTCCTTCTATTTAAAATATAGAAGAAACGAGCGAAGAACTGCTCAATTTTTCCATTGGCTCTTAGGTCCTGATTTTTTTTACTGATCACATGATTTTGGTGTAAGTTGGAATGAAAAAACAATTCGAACTCAATTATTTCAAATTGCTTTCGAAATCATAAAACAACCAAATTAAACTTTGTTGTTGTGAACGAAGTGCAGTGGTCTGTAAAAAGTACTGATGCAAATCAGACTTTATTTAACAATTAGAAAGGCCTTGACTGTGATCTCTTCTGTTGTAGAGCACGCAGGAAGCGGTTAGAGCAGTCAAACAGTTTGGAAGAACTTGAAGCATAGTCGAAGAGCTCGAGTTACAAGTCATGCAAGACATTGGGTAAAAAAAGGAAACCGACGGAAACATTTCGTGTATCTTTACTCCAATGAAGCCAATCAGATCGCACGTGATAAAGAGATTGTATTTTAAAACAATATATGTCCGCTCGCGAAGTTCGACACCGTTTGCTTGCGTTTGCATAAAGAGTCCAAACATTTATTATTGACTCTTCACCGACCTCACAAGTTCTCCCAAGGAAAAATAGCGAAGTAAGCCGGTAAGTGTCGGTTAAAATGTTTCTGAAAACGTTTTTAAAATACCAACTTCTTTCAGCGAGAGCTAGTCTATGGAAAGATGTATTAAATCGTGCAAATCACAGGTTTTCATTTAAAATGGACCAGGAGAAATAAAAGATCAGACTTCACGGTTTACAGATATTAACTTTCCGTGCCAATATTCCTGTATTTATAACAATGTCCGGCAAAAAGCTAAAATTCCACCGATTTATGTCTATTTTGTAATGAAAAAACCTTAAGAATATATTTGAATATTTTTGCTATGGATCTATAGTTTTGGCGGGATTTCTGGTCAAAGGTCTGACTAAAAGGTTAAGGAGTAATTAAAATGTTTCCCGTTGCACACCATAGCCAGAACATTTAAATTAATAGCTTATCTAGTAGTAAATATACCGTCCGCTGGTACGTTTAAATAGAAAAAAAAGTATATGGTAGGTCTCGTGGGAAAAAAGTGGTTGCGTGACACGATCAAACGATCGCTGACAAATGGCTTAAACAAACTAAATTCCTCATTGGAGGTTCCGGTTTGATTTTGAGGTTGGGTTTTTGAGTTGGATTTCGAGTTGGATTTTGGCGTTGATTTCCATCAGGATTGTGGTCCATGTGAATAAAATATATTTCTATGTCACCGATGATGCGAGTTTGTGCGCTTAATTACCTAGCAGTTGTTCAACAAGAGATTGATAAACGATAGTTGTTGACATACCCATGGAAGCACGAGTTTCTCTCTTCGGCTACTTGAGGAAGAACAAGACATGGTTTTCAAAAGAGCTTGCAGAGGGAGTTAGTTCAAGCTAACAGAGTATAATCATTAAGAGGGAATGGTTACAGAGCATTATGGGAAGAACCCGTCATTTTTACTGTCACACAACCGAAAAAAAGAGGCTCAGGACCCCGTGACCAAACAGACAATAGGCTATGAACTGTACTTTGTACTGATTATGTTTTGTTGTTATTCGAGTGAAGGTGTAGAACCATGGTAACACATGGCTACAAAAAGATCGCTTCGACCAATGGCCCTGCTGAAAAAGTTGGTTTTGTCTCTATACTTTTATTGCAATGGATGAATGATGTCATGAAGACAGGCAGTCAACGAGCCTTGGAGGAAAACGATTTTGTGCCACTCTCCAATGAGGACACCTCACAGTCGGTCACAGATCGTCTCGAGAAGAAATGGAAAGAAGAAAAAGCCAATTTTACGAGAAAGGAGGAAAGACCGAAGCTGTGGAAAAGTGTTTTGAAGATGCTTTCTCTGAGAGAGGTTGCCTATGTCCTTCTCCCAGGTGTCCTCTTCGGGATTAGCTCCCTCGTCACACCATTGCTCATTGGATATGTGATTTTCATGTTAATGTCACCTGAAACGCATACGAACCCCATACTTAACGGTTGTATGCTAGCGGCAGCCATGACCATAAACACATTGATCGGAAGTCTTTGCATGCAACACAACGGTTACGCGTGTGAAATATTGAGCATCAGATTGAGTAACGCGATAAAAGGTCTCGTTTACAGAAAGGTGAGCTCTGGTATGGTAGCTGACTCATTCCAGGTCGTATCCATAATTTGCGAGATGCTTAAGTGGTAGGAAAAGGGGTGATGGGTAGACGGAAAACTCTGGCAATTTTTCCCATCTCTTCAATCAGTCGCGCTCCCTTCTGCCACGGGTCAGTTGCCGCGCCGTGAAAAGGACTGGAAACGAGTCAGGGTATGGTAAGCAGAAGGTACAATCTTACTTAGTTTTGTCTGCACTTTTCTCTTCGCCTTACGATGCACTGTTGATATTAACCTTAACGCCTGTTGCCAGTGAAAGAAACAATGAAATATTGTAATCAACGCCTATTAATTATTTCTTTCCTTGACAACACTGAGTGCTTACCCCAAAAGATTAGCGCAGCCTTCCTAACTAATTAAACCAGTGTGATGTATCAGTACATTTCTGGTCGCCCCAAACGTGTTGACATTCTATTTTAACTGTTCGTTTGCGCAGGGGTGAAAATTCTTTGCCAACCACTTCCGAAAATGAAAAATTCCCTTTTCATTCGCCTGTGCAGTATACACTTATCATCTTCATCTTAATAATTGGTTGCAGTACTCTTTGGTTTTCTTTTCAAGCAATCAAGTTCTTAATTAAGGAAACAGGCATGATCTTGCGATATTTCGTTTATGAAGGGAGTAGGGAGGGAGGGTTGGGGGTTTTTAGTTTTGACACCACAATAGAATTTACCTAATACTCCCTAAATTCCTAAGTTGTTCCAATGTTTTCCCCCCCTCCTCCGTTGGCAGTCATTTTTCTATATTCTCAGTTTTCTTTATATTCTGCTGTTGACAGATGAGCCACTTTGACTTGTAATTTATCTTTTCTTTATTTTGCTTTCAGATATTATTACTCAGCAAGAGTACATTGTCCAAGTTTTCAGCAGGACGAGTGGTTGATCTCATATCAAATGATGTCCAGCGGATGGAGACAGCACCTGCTAAGTTTTTCATAATGATTCCAGCCGCACTTCAAATCGTGGTTGCAACGTTTCTGCTCGCGTATCTCATTGGCTGGCAGGCTCTTATGGGAGAGTTATTTCTCTGTCTTCTTGTGCCCTATTACATTGAAATGTCCTCTGTCTATGGCACACTGCGTCTGCACTCAGCAGCAGAAGCCGATCGTCGAATTTCCTTGACGAACCAAGTGGTTTCTGGGATCCGCGCTATCAAAGCGCGAGCGTGGGAGGATGATTTCAGAGGAAAGATAAAACATACACGAAAGTAGGGGGAGAGTTTTTGACTTACCGCAATAGATACGCATTACAGCCAGTAGGGTTACAGTGCGAACTATCCTTTTACTGGCGTAATAATCCACGAACGATCTTGGGAGACCACAAGAAAAGTTTGTCATTACAATCTTAAAGCTGGACTACGAGTTCTTGAACCAAGTTTTACTGAGACCTTTCACTAGCCATGGTTATAACGCCGGTTAACTAAAAAAATGCAACGTATTTTTAACTGTCCTCTTTAGCTTCAATGATTTGTTCACCCCTTTCAGGTCATGTCACGATACTCAAAACTACTTTTTTTCCCCAACTTTCGTAAATTATTCTTACCTTAGTACATATACGCACGTTACAAAGAGAAAATGTGAAAGAACCATTTCATGAGAATATTATCGTCTGACCTGACATAGGTAGATAAAAAAAAGGTTCTGTTGCAAAATATTTTTAGGGAAATTATATTCAGCCGCGCGCTTTTGGCGCTAAAACTGTCCTTAAATATTTTCTTTAGAAGATAATGTCGAAGGACAAATATCTGAGCATATTTTCACACCAAACGAAGGCTATTATCTATAACAGGGTTTGATAATCAAACAGTGCAAAGTTCGTGAGTTATTTCAATTTGTACGTAAATGATGGCAACACTACCTTCTCTTTCTTTCAGACGAGAAATCAGCATCATCCGTAAGAAAAGTGCTATTCTCTCAGGTCTGGCTGCCTTGGAGTATACTTCAATACCCATGCTGCTCTCCGTTATTTCTCTGCTACTGACTGGTCATCATCTCACTCCTGTCAATGCTTTTACGCTCCTAATGTACATGAACCTGTTTAGACTTAATCTTTGCCTTGATATTGGATATGGTGTGGTGGAGACACATGAAGCATATGTATCACTCAGCAGGATAGAAGATTTTCTCATTTTAGAAGATTTGTTATCGATCTCGGGAGATCAGTGTATAGAAGACAAAGCTATAACGCTAAAGGAAAAGTCCGTCGAGTTACCAAACAATTTTACAGTGATGGGCAGTCAGTCGGAGAAATCAGAAGAAAAACCCCTTACTGATCTGAGGGTGAACCCATTTGAGATAGGAACTTTATATGTGTCCAATTTAACGTTTAAGGAAATGAAGAGGAAGGATGAATTTATTCTCCAAGATGTGGAATTCATTGCTGCATCAGGAACCTTGACAGTTGTCACCGGGCCAGTAGGCAGTGGAAAATCAACTCTTCTCTCAGCGATCGCTGGCGAGATGTCAGACATCAGAGGAACAATGAGTCGTCATGGAACTTTTGTGTACGCGCCGCAAGTAGCCTGGGTGTTCTCTGGAACCTTAAGAGAAAATATTTTATTTGGCGAGTGGTACGATGAATCAAGATATACCAGGGTAGTCGAGGCTTGCGCCCTCACGCAAGACTTTCAGCAGTTTCCGAATGGTGACCAAACTGTTGTTGGCGAGCGCGGTGCCGTTCTTAGTGGTGGTCAGCGTGCAAGAGTAAATTTAGCACGCGCCGTGTATGTGGATGCAGACCTTTACTTGTTGGACGATCCTCTCAGTGCTGTGGACTTCAAAGTGGGTCAGCATATCTTTGAAAAGTGTATCAAGGGTGTGCTCAGTAAAAAGACCCGACTGTTAGCTTCTCATCAAGAACAACACATGAAAGATGCCGACCAAGTGATAATGCTGTCTAAAGGGCGCATACTGGGGAAAGGGACCTTCGAAGAGCTTCAAGATAGAGGCATTTTAAATACCACCATTGACCCACTATATAAGAATTCTCTGACAGCGAGTGTGTCGGACAACACCGCAAGTGAGAAGGAAGAGAAAAGCGACCATTTGGTGTCACTTGCTACTGATAGTAGTGGTCTGGAAATATCTGTTGAAGATCGGGCAATCGGAACGGTGTCAAGCAAGCTTTACTGGGACTACTTCAGAAGTGGCATTCATTCCTTGTTGATCATTGGAGTTGTTATTTTGTGTCTCATTACCCAGAGTGAGTCTCAATAAGTTATCGTAGTGGCCAGGAACAATCATTTTATTTCGCCAGGGGAGGGGGTTGGGGCTGGAAGATTTTAGTTACATCACGCTAAAACTAACCTGATCTTCCCATAATGCTTTTGTAATATACTCATGATCCTCACCCTTCATGTTGGCAATTAGTGGGCAGTCAATTATCCATACCTATAGTGTCCTCTTTAAACTCTGTTCCTTCTAGTGACTCCCCCTAAATCCTTTGTCCCCTCCCCCCTTCTCAGGTGTGCAATGATGATTGGTTCTGATGGTTCTTTAAATATGAAAAATTCCCAAGTGTTGCCAAACTTTATTGGAAAATTCATAACCAGTCACAATTTTTTTAGCAACTTACTGTATATTTCTCCTTCTCTCAGCATTGATGAGTGCCCCTGATGTTTGGCTAATGTTTTTGACCCGGAAACGTCCTTCAGAACAGAAAGACAAGACGAATTTAGCTATCTATGGCTGTTTGGTCGCTGCCTCGTTCATATTAGGCATCGTTAGGTCCTACATGTTATTTTTGGTTTGTCTAAGATGCTCCGAGCGTCTTCATGACAAAATGGTTGTTGCTCTTTTACAAGCACCGGTTCTATTCTTCGACTCAAATCCCGTGGGTAGAATCCTGAATCGATTCTCTAACGATGTGGGCTGTATGGACGAACTATTACCGCTACAGTTTGTATTCACAGTTCAGCTGATGTTGCTGTTGCTCTCAGCTGTTATCGTGCCTTCTGTTACGAATCCTTGGCTTGTGTTTGTCACCATTCCAGTGACGGCTATGATTCTCTACTTTGCGAGATTTTACTTGAAGAGTTCCAGGGAACTGAAAAGGTTGGAGTCAATATGCCGAAGCCCAGTGTTCTCTCACATATCAGAGACTCTTGAAGGACTGGACACGATTCGAACAAGAGGCAGACAGAGGGATTTCAAAGAGAAGTTTTACAGGTGAGTTCGTGCAACTTATAAGGTGAGCTTAGAGGGTAAGCCTGCGATCTATTTCCGTGCGATTCTGGCCTGGTCTGCAAAGCGTTGTCACTGGGATCTCGAACTAATATCCAAAAAAAAATGCAACTCTGATAAAAGAATGTGCTGCGCGGACTAAGCATCTAAATTGTAGATGATATGCGTTAATTTTTTTTTTAATCAAACATTAAATGACACGTGCGGCACTGCACGCCCAATACATAGAAATTCATGGCAAGATTTGACCTGTACAGGGCCGTCCGAAGAGGTTGGCGTGAACCAGTCTGGAAAAGTGAGATATGAAAAAAATAAGTAATTTCTTTCGATGAATTATGAGTTTCCTGTACTGACTTACAAAAATAAAGGATAATTATCATTTTAGTATCTTTTTTCCGCGTACGCTTTTCCATGTCATCCCAGTTGGGTTGAAACAAATTCTCGAGTTTTTAACACTTAGTGGTCATATGACGAAATGCTTATTTCCCGAGGTTAGCCACTTCGTCAATAAGTATATTATTTCCCTTTGGACAGCCACCAAGACACTCATAACCAGTCTTTTATCATGGTAAGGGCGAGTGGCAGATGGTTCGGTGTCCGTCTGGAAGCGATCATTTCTCTGTTAATCGGCTTGGTGATTCTTGAGGCAGTTTTGATATCTCAAGATGCTGGTAAGTGAATTCCTAATCAGTTACCCTGAAAGAAGGCTCTTGATATTCGCGTTTAGGTGTACGCGTTTTTTCGTTCACAAATAAATTCGAGGTTTTTAGCAAAGCAAGCCAAGGAGTAATCTGCATGTGGTCTTGTGCTTTATTCGAGCGCCAAATCTTTCGCCGACCTCTCGCCGGCTGGTCTGCTCATGGCCTTGACACAATTCAAATCATTTGACACCCTCTTCATAAGGGCAAAATCAAACTAGTCTTAGTTTAATGAAGATTTTTCAAACTATTGTGCATGTATCACGAGTAGTATGTCGATGCAAAATGTTCCCTCGACATCTTGTGTCGTATTTAGGCATTTATAGATTATGCTAGGATAAGTTTTGGCATAATTAGAGCAAACTGACATAATTTCTGCCAATTAGCAATGCTAGCATAATTTTCGCATTTTGATAATTATCAGATCATTTAATGATGCCATTATTTGGTGATTTTTTGTCTCTAGTCCCAAGCACTTGGTGACCTTAATCGATATTTAAAGTTTTAGTTAAACTAGTAGCATTTGTAGTTCACTGTGAAGCACTGAGCCCGGGTCTGAGGTGCACCGAAACCGGAAGTCACATTTTAGCCATGTCGATCCCAGTACCTCTCATTAGGCAAGGCTACTATATGGCGTCGGCCATGCCTGATCGGAACGTAAACTTGCATCTGCAGGGCTCTCATAGAAAAAATATATATTTTGGACTTATTTGCATTTTTTCAAAGAGCATAATTTAAAAATACGGTGGCATTATTTGGAAAAAAGAGCATAATGTTAGCATAATTTGGCCAAAAAAAAGCATTGCTACTAGGATAATATGCCACTTTTACTTGCATAATCTATAAATGCCTATCACCAACATCTTCAGTATGATGGTCGGGTCGGAATCCACAACCGATAGTTATTCTATAACGTTAAAATATGGTAATCAGTAATAATAACTCTGCAATCTCTTTTTTTAAGATTTAGTTTAACATTTTCTTACTAGCTTCCGCCGCACTTGCTCTTGCTTACATCATTCAAACAATGGTTCTGACGCAATATGCTGTAAGAAAATCATCAGATGTTGAGAATTTTATGACGTCAGTGGAACGAGTTATGGCCTACACCAACCTTGACTCAGAGCCTGGATACAAAGTGAACAGACTTCCCCCGGAACACTGGCCACGTGAAGGAAATATCGCATTTTACGATGTGTCGTTAACATATTATCCGGGGGGTCCTCAAGCACTGAAAAGCATCAATCTTGACATCAAAGGAGGCTCAAAGATTGGTGTTGCAGGACGTACGGGCGCTGGAAAATCGTCTTTCGTAGCAGCTCTTTTACGCATGCCTGACCCTGATGGAGAGATTCTAGTTGATGGAATTAAGATAAAGGAAATTAATCTTCAAGCAGCTCGAGGATGTATATCCTCTCTTGGTCAAACTCCGGTGCTTTTCAGTGGTTCGTTGAGGAAAAACCTGGATATTGCGCAGCGCTTCCAAGATGCAGATCTATGGCAAGTCTTAGAGGATGTGCAGCTGAAAGATTTCGTGGAAAGTCTAGAGGGACAACTGGATTACGAATTGCTAGAAAATGGAGCAAATGTCAGCGTGGGAGAACGGCAGCTGATTTGTTTGGCTCGTGTTCTGTTGCAGCAAAACAAGATCATCATCTTGGATGAACCCACAGCACACGTGGATCCAGGCACAGAAGAAACAATCTGGAGAGTGGTGCGAGAGAAACTGAAGGACTCCACACTAATAATTGTAGCTCACCGTCTGAACACCATCCGACACTGTCACAAGATTCTTGTTTTTAAAGAGGGAGGGGTGGTCGAGTCCGGAACTTTTGACGCATGAACGCTCAAATGTTTTCCGTTAGTTTTTAAATTGACCCTAGTTCTCCTTATTATAGGACATTAACAATGCATGTAATTGACGCGAATTTAAAAAATTCGCGTTAATTTTATGTATCTTAATTTACCTCATTGTTAATTGAAATGACATTAATTGAAAGCATCGCTATTTAAAGACACCTTTATTATAAGCAAAGCTACAATTCTTTTAAGTCACCGTCAGAGTCGGTTGACGCATCATCATTTAATATTAAGTTAAAAATGTCCTTAGATTCATCAGTGTAGCGATCGTCTTCTCCGAGGGGATAACTCACTTCTTCAACTTTGTTGCGCAAAATGTCTATCGCATTTTTGTCATC